TGCAGCTTTCCCAGGTTTACGGTAAGAGAGAGCCAGAATAGCTACCCTACTCCTCCAACAAACTTCAAGTTTCCACAATGCTAGTTTCCACAACACCTGGAAAGCACTGTGAGGTATAATGCATGCCATCTGCTCTCCAAGAATTTATGATCCAGGAGGGGACAGATCAGTGGATTCATTATCATTCTTACACCTTACAAAGTTCCTAGGGGGTTTCATTTACCAAGTATTTGAAGCTACTAAGCTAAGCTACTAAGCTACTATACCTGGGAATCTGAGGTTGAAAAGAGAATGAAACTGGATGAAGGTGGTCGAAAGCTACAGAGCTCCAACTGTAAGATAAAAGTATTAGGGATACAACGTACCTGATCAATTTAATTAACACTGCTGTATGTAACATACGAAAGTTGTTTTAAGAGAGTAAATCCTAAGAGTTCCCATCACCAGGAATAAATTGTTTCTATTTCCTTTATTTTGTATCTATATGAGATGATGGATGTTCACTAAACTTGTGAAAACTATTTCATGATGTATGTAAAGTCAAATCATCATCTATCAAATCAAATTATCTATATAATACCTTAAGTTTATATAGAGCTGTATGTCAATTATATTTGTAAAAAACTAGAAGAAAAAGAATAAAATTCTAAGCATATATAAAGAGCAAATCCAGATATATCCATGTAGAAAATTGGATTATTCTTAGTAACTCTTCATTTCCACCCTGTATTAGAATATTTAACTAGGCCGTTTGCTATGTGTCTTTACAGTTTTTTTCTCACTAGACATGGAGAGTCTTTCCCTGATCTACCAAGGGAAATTTCTGCTTGGAAAGACCTAGCTTCAGAAAGCCAACTGTCCAGGTATTATTTTACTTTAGATGCTTGCAGGTGGTTATGTCCCCATGACCCACCATGTTTAATTTCTTCTTCTTTCTTAAAAGTCACCTTTTTTCATCTTTTGAAATTATTTGTTCCTCCTCTCTAGGACCCTTAAATAGTACTTTATTCACAGCTTTTTCCTTAACTACTTGCATGACTTTAGGTACCTAATCTTTGGATCAGTTTTAACATCTATCAGAGCTCCTGGTGAGAACTTGATAAAAATGCAGGTACCTAAACCTCACTTCTATAGATTTTAATTTATCAGATGTGGGAGAGGACCTCAGCATCTGTATTTGTATTGAGTATCCTTAGACAGGCTAAGATACACCAAAGTTTATTCTTCAAGTTCTGTCTTTTTCATGCAAAGCTATTATTTTAATAGAGTAGAATGAGTTTTAAAGAAGAATTAAAGAACTTCCCAGCTGTCTTAAATAGGGATCTTCAATCAGATGGGAACTGAGTCAGAATCCAGTTGCAAAGACAATGTACAGAGGAAACAGAGATTCCCAGCTCTATACAGAAACTTTTCATATAATTTTAGCACAACCAGGACAATTTATTAATTAACAGTATTGGGCTCAAAAAAAAAGAAATATATTAAAAAAGAATGAAATGTTATTTGCATTGGCAGGGATACACTTGGAGTACTTTATGCTAAGTGAAGTAAATCAGAGAAAGAAATACTGTACGACAGGGGTCCCCAACCTCTGGGATCTAATGCCTGATGATCTGAGGGGGAGCTGATGTAATAATAAGATAAATAAAGTGCACAGTAAATGGAATGCCCTTGAATCATCCTGAAACCAACTTCTCCCACCCCACTCTGTCCATGGAAAAACTGTCTTCCACAAAACTGCTCCCTGGTGCCTAAAAGGTTGGAGACCGCTGCTGTATGATATCACTTATGTGTGGAATCTAAAAAATACAACAGACTAGTGAATATAATGTAAAAAGAGACAGATTCACAGATACAGAGAACAAGTTAGTGGTTACAATAGGGAGTGGGGAAATGGGGAGTGGCAATGTGGGATAAGAGATTAAGAGGTACAAACTATTAGATATAAAATAAATTATAAAGATATACTGTACAACACAAGCAATGTAGTCAATATTTTATAGTAACTATAAAGGAAGTATAATCTTTAAAAATTGTGAATCATTATATTGTATACCTGTAATGTATATATTGTATATCAACTATATGTCAAAAAAATTTTTAAAGGTTAAAAAAGGAAACATAGCATAGTAATGTAAGACAGCTTATAAATGATTTTTAAAAATAAAGAGTTCATTTTTTCAAGGTGTAGTGGGGAGAATAAGGTTTTTATCTAAAAGCAAGCTACTGAATCTAATAAATGAGTCTTTAAAATATACAGATTCTGTATATAGGTGTTTCTGTGTGTTTACACACGTGATGTATACATGTGTGCTCATGCATTAAATCAACATGTCATGTTAATGTAATTTTAAAACAATTAATTAAATGATAAGCAATTTAGTCATAGCCCAGTACTTCAAAACTGCACTGTGAGAATGTTTGAAATGTCTTTCCTGTGATCTATGTCTTTAGGATCACCATCTTAAAGGGTTTGGGAAAGCCACATGTATAGAACATAATGATTTTGAATCATGCAGGCTATTTTTGGGACATTTAAATATGTGAAACAGATTTCCTTAGGGACTTTCTCATTCATTCACTCCTTGTCTGAGACCCTTCACCCCAAAAAGTCTGCTAGGGAAGGAGGAACTACAGGGAGCTAGAGCCAAAGGGAGCAGATGGAAGTCTGAGCAAACACACCAAGTCTGAGTTGGGGGGGGGTCACCATTCCATCTGCAGGCAGATTAGGTAATAGGCTATCCAACCACTCCCATCTTTGTTTCTCTTCTCTACCCTTCGAGAAATAAGGGCACTTGCCATAGCCCTAATGTTCCATTTTTACCCTACACCTTTCTCCATTTTCAGTGGACTCTTCCCTCCATTGCATTAAAAACCAACTTCCTTGGTCTAAAGGTGTCAGGTCTAGGAGAGATCTCACTGATCCCTCCATCACTGAAACTTAGGTTGTGCCTTTAAATGTCATTTTATGTAGAGGTGCACTGTGAGTAGATTCAAGCCCATGCCCTGTACCCAGTTCTTCCCAGTCTCTGGGCCGCCAACTAGCCAACTAACTTGTGTGGTCACAAACTGAAGGCTCATCATGATGTAGCTTATATAATACATACATAATATGTGGGATGATCCCTGTGGATAATTAAGGTGGCATTACCGGCCTAGAAGGGAGCTAGCAGCTCTTTCACAGCTATGTCTTCTAAAAGGGTGACAACCACTTACCGTGCTTTTCATACCCAATATGAAAGAGTCTCGACTATGTCTGCTCATACGTAGTTCTGTGCAGGCGAGCTCATTCACTCAGTCCTGTTGGACTCTTTGTGACCCCATGGATTGTAGCCCACCAGTCCCCTGTGTCTGTGAAATTCTCCAGACAAGAAATAGTGGAGTAGGTTGCCATTTCCTCCTCCCCAGAGGCTGAACTCACATCTCCCGTGACTTCTGCACTGGCCGGCAAGGCAGATTCTTTACCCCTAAGCCACCTGGGAAGCCCCTCCTAATACTGACCCCTGAGCTAATTAGTATCAGTGTGATTGTCTTCATTTTCTAGCTACCAATTAAGCAGTTGCTCCAGAGAGAACTGTCAGCAATATGTAAATTTAAAAACAGAAGCCAGGAGCTGCTGGTTGACAGTATAGAAAGACGAGGTTGGAAAACAAAAGTGATGGTGGAGTGAGATTGTGAGTGGCCGTTCTAGCTAGTTGAATACCGAGCTTCCTTACGATCCGATTAGCTCACAGTTTACCCGAGAAGTACCCACTCCTCCAAATAAATAAGTAAAAGATAGATATAGAATAGCAGAGCGTCTGGGTTTGCGCTGGGGAAGCGAGTCCTTTAACCATGGCCACCCACTCGCTCAAACTAGGCACCTATTTGGTAGAGAGTCTTGTGCTCAAACCCCCATCCTCAGAGACAGCTTCACTCCTACATTTAAGCTTCAGCCTAAATGGACACGCAGAGAGCTTTCCTCATTCCTGTATCGGATTCACGATGGCACCGTCCACAGACTCACTCTTAAGCCACGCAGTCCTCTCTTATGAGAGACTGAAAACGTCCTATTGTTGCCCCCGCTCTCCTTTCCCCAACCAGCATCTCCATTTAGAGAGGGAATTTCAGTTGCATCACCAAACACAAAAAGCAAAAGGTGAGGGATGCAGGGAGAGATGCCAAACTCCCTACTCACACCCCTCCCCACTCACCCACGCGTCGGCTCCCGGCTCCCCCTCCTCCTGCCCCGGGTTGGCGGTCAGGTGAGGTTACCTGGGCGCCCCGAGAAGCCTCGAGGGGCGCTGCGATCCTTCCTCTCGAAGTCGCCCCACTCCCCACCGGGCCCCCAAGACTCTGGCCCCTTCTCCCCCTGCGCGCGTCCCCTGCCCCTCGGGCTCCGGCGCGCAGCGACAGCCGCACGCAGCGCTCGGCTCCCCTCCGCCGACCTGGCGTGACGCAGGCGGAGACTACTTAAGGCCGGATTAGAGGCGGCGGCCGCGGATTGCCGAGCCCTGCGACCGGCTCCGCGCGCTCCGCCCCGGCTTCGCAGGCGGCAGCGCGGGAGCGCCCGGTGCCCGCTGAAGTGCCAGGCGCGGGGATTGGTGCCCGGACCTTTCCTCGGCCCCTAACCCCCGGGAGTGAGTGGCGCTCAAACACCTCGCTCGGGCGGGCGAGAGCTCGCGGACCTGCACGCGGCCACCCCCGCTCCGCCCCGCCCCTCGCCCGGCCGTCCCCCGGCTCCAGACCCGACCCCCGGACGGCGCCCGAGGTTCGTGCCCGCTCTCCGGACCGCGCCAGCTGCCCATCAGTTGGACGCGCTTGGGTTTCCTTCCCCATTTCCCCTGTTTTAAGTACAATAAAAGGGAGAGGGGGATCTTGGATTTTTAAACAATTTTGTTTGATTCTTTAATTGGGGGGCATTTCGCTCCCAGTCGGGAGGTGCGGCCCGGGGAGGGGCCCGGAGCGGGAAGGTGCCCGGTGCTGCCCAGTCTTTGTCTGCTGCCTCCGGATGCTCAGCGATGGGGGAATGGACCATCTTGGAGAGGCTGCTGGAAGCCGCGGTGCAGCAGCACTCCACTATGATCGGGAGGTAAGGGCGACGAGCCGGCCATCAGCGGGCCCCGTCGGGCGGCCCCCGGGAGTCCTTTCTAACGTCCAGACCGAGCCCCAGTAGTCCTCAGACCCTCCTCTGCCTCCTTCCCATCATCCTTGGTCCATGCGCCTGTGTTCCCAGCATTGAGGGATTGCCTGACGCCCAGTGATGCCCCCTCCTCCAGCTGCTCCTCATCAGGAATCCATCCCTTCCCTATGAAGCACCACCAGGGGATTCACTTTTCTTCCATTAGCAAAGGAGTTATTGGCTCAGTCGTGGTACCCCCACTCTCCGCAGTCAGAGCCAATCTTCATCCGGTTCCCTAAATAGAATCTACAAAGAAGGCAGGATTGTATTTGGACAGAGAAGGGCAAATGGGGAGATGGATTTGCTCTTCCGAGCAGATATATCTTTCCCCAACAAATATTTAACAAGCTAAACTGATTTGCCTGTTAAGACCTACAGTGCCAGAAACCCACACACCCAGTTGACACATTTTGTCTCTATATATACTATATATATTTGTGTTTATATGTGTATATATAGTTATAACTATCTGTTTATGTAAAGCTTAAGTTCAGTATTCATATTGAGGATAAACTAAATATCCAGTTGGAGTACTTAGATATACATACTCTGTGTGTAGACTTTGTATTTGATGTATTCAGCCATTCCATGTGCATTTGCCATATCCAGAGGGCAGTTATATTTTCTGCCTCTTTACATTCCATGTTTTCAGATTAAATCGATCTGTTGCAAATACACCATGTCCAGTGTATGGAAATGCACATGCTTAAGATCCCTATAGTATGAAGTGTTTCCAGCCTACCAACACCCAACAGAGAGGAAAGAGACCTAAATGTATGCTGAATTCCCAGTTCAGGACCACTCTGGATGGATAGCTCCCCAGTCAATGATAGAGCTGGGAACTGAGCAATAGGGCTTTTCTACTGAGTCAGTGACTCAACCCTTGAGAACCTCTCTGCCTCCCTTTTCCCCTGCTCAGGATCCTCTTGACTGTGGTGGTGATCTTCCGGATCCTCATTGTGGCCATTGTGGGGGAGACGGTGTACGATGATGAACAGACCATGTTCGTATGCAACACACTGCAGCCCGGATGTAACCAGGCCTGCTATGACCGCGCCTTCCCCATCTCCCACATACGCTACTGGGTCTTCCAGATCATAATGGTGTGTACCCCCAGTCTCTGCTTCATCACTTACTCTGTGCACCAGTCTGCCAAGCAACGAGAACGCCGCTACTCTACTGTCTTCCTGGCTCTGGACAGAGATCCTCCTGAGTCCATGGGGGGTCCTGGAGGAACTGGGGGTGGGGGCAGCGGCGGTGGCAAACGAGAAGATAAGAAGTTGCACAATGCCATTGTCAATGGGGTGCTACAGAACACAGAGAACACGAGCAAGGAGACAGAGCCAGATTGTTTAGAGGTGAAGGAGCTGACCCCACACCCATCGGGGTTGCGCACTGCAGCTCGATCCAAGCTCAGAAGGCAGGAAGGCATCTCCCGCTTCTACATTATCCAAGTGGTATTCCGCAATGCCCTGGAGATTGGGTTTCTGGTGGGCCAATACTTCCTCTATGGCTTCAGTGTCCCGGGGCTGTATGAATGTGACCGCTACCCCTGTATCAAGGAGGTGGAATGTTATGTGTCCCGGCCTACTGAGAAGACTGTTTTTCTAGTGTTCATGTTTGCGGTGAGCGGCATCTGTGTTGTGCTCAACCTGGCTGAACTCAACCACCTGGGATGGCGCAAGATCAAGCTGGCTGTGCGGGGAGCCCAGGCCAAGAGAAAGTCAGTCTATGAGATCCGCAACAAGGACCTGCCCCGGGTCAGTGTTCCCAACTTTGGCAGGACTCAGTCCAGTGACTCTGCCTATGTGTGAAAGGGCAGGTTTGGGGAAGGCCTAGGGGGTGACAAGGAGCCCCAAGGCAGATGGCTACGGAGGGTGGCTCTATCTGCCCTCATTTATGTGACTGTCATCATTGAGATCTAGAATAAGGCTGGTTAAGAGAAGATCTTGCATCAGTTGGAGAGGAGAGAAAGTAGGACCGTTAGCACATCACACCACTGGTTCCAGAGACAACTGGACAGAGTGATGAGATGGATGAGTTGGACTCCTTTGGGCCCTTTTCTTTTGTGGTCCAGTTTGATCCTGATCATAGTGGACTTGAACAGCTCCCAAGTAGGACTTAGCTCTGCTAAGCTCTGTATTCTGGTGAATGGCATGAGTCAACTATTTTACTGTTACAAAATTTGTGACCTATCTCAACACATCCCTTCATCCTGGGCTGCAGGACAAACATCCTTGAGGCATCCTTCATGTACCTATCCCATCAGCATGCCCTTCTCCCTCAACCCAGGACAGCATGCCAGCTTTATCCTCAATCTGGCCTTACAGTAGACCTAATATGGTTTATCTGCAAGCTAGAGGGAATTCTGTGGGGTGCTTTTTAGAGAATGGCCATGGCATAGGTTTGTATCACAGCCCCATCTGATTGGCCCTTAGTCATTATGAAAACCTTAGGAATGTCTCAATATTTCCAGTTTTCTAACTCAAACTGCACTGGTGCTGTTTATTAGGGGCAGGGGTTGGGTGGGAGGGAGGGGAATGCAATATGCAACTATTAACAGTCCTATGGGATGGTTGTTGCACTGTTAGGCATGTGGTTATGAGCTTTGGGATATTTCTGCCTTCCAGATTGTGGACTTTGGACAGCATTAAAAATATTTTTGTTGATATTGTTAATATCAAGGGTGTCTACCCAAGCCACAGAATCTCTAACTGGTGTATTTCATTCATTTTCTTATATAGTTTTGTTGTGCAACACAGCTGCACTTCATTTTGCCATGGTTTGAATTTACCTGTGTGCTCACACCAGAGACCTTAATCAGCCCATGTCAATCCTGATTTATTATTTTATCAGTTATTTTTGAAACACATACAATCACTGGCTTAAGAAACCTGAAACTAAACACTATTGGCTAACGCGCGTTTACGGATACTTATTTGAGATATATACATATACCAAAGGTTCAAAAACCTGTTGCTTTGGACTGTGAATATGTTTCCTCCTCTTTGCTCTTATTTAATTAAGTGCCATACTGTACCTTTCATATCCACTGTTTATTTAGTTAAAGCATTGGCCAAGAGTAATATTTGGATAATGTGCTTTTATGAAGCCCTCCATTTCCTTTGCATTATCATTATGATTTTTGGTTTAGATAACAACTGAGGATATGTTTAAAATAAAGTTCTTGCCTTTTTTTTTAATGGGAAGAGTCTGCAATTTTATGTTTTGATTTGGATTCTATTTATTTAAATATATGTTCAAAAATGTTTTGTTACATATTTAAAAATCAGAACTGTGAGGGTAGGAAGTGATGGATGGTTGAATAGTTTCTTGGGGGATGACTGATAATGTCCAGTCACTAACAGATGAGACAAGACTGGTACATTTTGTGAAAGTTTAGAAGACTGTGATGAGGTATTCAAGTAGTGATGTTTACTAACTCCTTTCCATTTTAGTCCAAGATTTCTCTGCTTGTCTAAGGATATGTCTAGTAATAAAATGTCAATGCTACAACATATTAGTTTATTCCAGGAGTGGAATTATTTTTCCCATTTTACCATACTTTCCTGCTCTCACCTGTCACATTTGGCAGCAGGCCATGCTCCCTGTGCTCATCTATTTGAGACCTGATGTTTAAATGATGCTAATCCAATAGTCAAACAGAACCTTCTAGACCAGCATTGTCCAATACAACTTGGTGTAATGATGGAAACTTCTGTTATTTTTGGTGCTTAATACGACAATGACTATTGAGCTCTTAAAATATGACTAGTACAATTGAATAACTGAATTTCTAATTTTATTTGATTTTAATTAATTTAAATAACCATATATGGTTAGTTGCTACTGTATCATAAAGCACAATTATAGACTTTTAATTAAGCACTTCTTATTGGGTTCTTCCAAAAGAGGTTAATCCTTTGCTTATGTGTCCTAAGATATTACTTTTTAGCAACACATTTTACTAACATATTTGGCATTTTTCTTTCTTTTTTAGTTTCTTTTTTTAAAAAAACAAAAACTTCTTATTTTATATTGGAGTATAGTTGATAAACAGTGTTTGTGATAGTTTCAGGTGTACAACAAAGTGATTCAGTTATAGATATACACATATCTGTTCATGTTTGGCATTTTCTGTCTACATGAATTAATGGTCCCATTAGTTCAGTAAACTAATGTTCTTCCCCAGTTCTTAAATGCTATTCACCTTCTAATTCCAATAAGCCCTTCATCTGAATATTGCAAAGTAATGTGAAATTTCTTGTATGATTGTTTTTCAAGCATGATTGTTGCATCCTTTAACTATGACAGTGTGGATGCCAATTTTAGAATGAAAATCTGTTTATTTCAATCTATAGGTTTCCATCTGCAGTATAAATAGGCAGTTGAAAAGGACTATTCTTGAGTAAAGAAACAGATCCTCCTCTGTTTTGTGTTTGGTGAGCTAAAAATGTTTTAAGATGCCTCCCAGAGATGGAGGAAGAGTGTTGCTTGAGAGCTCTTAGCATATGCTTGGGTGTGAAAGAAGTAGGAAGCTGTGTGGAAAACAAGGGCTGTTGTATGTATGCCACAATGTGAGATTGGGAGAACGCTAGTGTTTCCTGGTAGAAATGCATCCTGTATCAGTGGAGCTCTTTGATGTTTCCAAACACCTGCAAACGCAAGATTAATTCACTTGTTGGCAGTGGAGAAGGGAACACACCTTCCTCTGGGCTTGTAGAGTCATTCCTCAGATTTACTGATGTGTGTCAGTCTGATTCTTTCGCTTTCTATTTAATGAAGGAGATACACTGATGATTTGATGATTCACATAGCTATGTGATGGGTACGATCTTAATCTGTACTTTTGAGAGGACAGCACCAATCTCTTCTTATAAATTTAAGAGCCCTATAGTGAAGCACAGGGCTTCCCTGATAGCTCAGTTGGTAAAGAGTCTGCCTGCAATGCAGGAGACCCTTGTTCGATTCCTGGGTCGAGAAGATCCACTGGAGAAGGGATAAACTACCCACTCCAGTCTTCTGGCCTGAAGAATTCCATGGACTGTATAGTCCATGGGATCCCAAAGAGTTGGACATGACTGAGTGAGTTCCACTCACTCACTAGTGAACCACAGGCTCTTTTGGCCTGTGTGTGCATAATGTGTGTGTGTGTGCACGTGCGCATGCATGTTGGTGGGGGGTGGGGGTGCTAAGGCATAAACTGAGTCTAAAAGTTTGAAGAACAGCCTAGAGAGACTGAAGTTACTTAGCCTGGGGAAAGGAAAACCTAAAGTACAGAATTTGTCATTTTTAAGTCCTCAAATATTTAAAGGGTTAAAAAGTATAAGGGATAACAGCTGTACTTTCTGACCTCTGAGAGCAGAGGGAAAAGACTGGATTCAAAATCAGGGGTGTAGAAAATTAACAAAGTACCCGAAAGAACATGGTTTCTCTTTCACCTCTCCTTTTTTTTGTTTTTTTTAATGCTATTTCTTCGGCCGGGAATACCTGTCCCACCACCTCCTTTGACTAGGTGTGCTCCTCTTCACTCCCTAGCAGTCGGTTTGACTCTCTGCTTGCACAGGAACCCATGCTAAACTCTCCTCCAGGCTGGCTTACTGTGCCTGTGCTGAGCCTCCATAAAAGTCTCTGCCCCTTACTGCTTGGAGGTGAGATGTTTCTAGATCAGTGCGTGGGTCCTTGAGGGTAGGAACTGTGCCTTACCCATTGTAACCATATGTGACATTTGTTATCATCACTACATCTACTACGAGAGATATGGGCGCCTCAGTGTCCCATCTGGCAACAGTCTTACAGACTCGTATGGAAGCTAAAAGTACCTTACGAAGACATTAAGTCAAACTCTTGATTATATGGATGAGAAAACTGAAAGATCTACAATTAGGACACTGAGTTTCTTGGAAAATGATGTAACCGTTCATCTTGGAGAATTGTAATATTTAGGAAATCAATATTTATGTTGGTTTCACTTACTTTGTGTTTTACAAAGTGTATTCGTCTGCTTGGGCTGCCGTAACAAAATATCACGAATAGGGCGGCTTGAACAAGAGGAATTTGTCTTCTCGCCACTCTGCAATCTGCAAGTCGAAGCTCAAGGTGCTGGCAGGATTAGTTCCTTCTGAGGCTTTTGCTGGTTTTGCAGATGGTCACCTTCTCTCTGTGCCCTCACATGGTCACCCCTCTGTCCATGTGCATTCTTAGTGTCTCTCTGTGTGTCTTAATCTGCTCTTCTTATGAGGACACGAGTCACATTGAATTAGGGCCGACCCTAATGTCCTCCTTTTAACATAATCACTTCTCGAAAGACCTTATCTTTAAATACAGTCACATTTTGATACAAGGGACACAGTTTAGCCCACAATACTAAATATTTTCAAACCTCTAGGTACCCTTATGCTTGGGGGTGGTTACATAATTTACTGCACAAAATGGGTTATATTTGAGAATAAAAGGGGTAGAATATCTAATTGAATGGAACACCAGACCTGTGAGTGTAAATTGGATCTGTCCCTAAGCAAACCAAGTTGTGTGGCTGCTTTACTTAAGACAATCAACGATCATTGAGCTCTTGCTCCAGGGTCTGGAACCCTAGAGATAATGACTCCTAAGTCTCAGCTCTTGAGAAGGGCTATGAACTGCTGTCAGACAGAGATAAAAATTTATGTCAGTAATAATTAGGTGGCAGTAGTGGTAAAGAACCTGCCTGCCAATGCAGGAGACATAAGAGTTGTGGGTTCAATCCCTGGGTCAGGAAGATTCCCTGGAGGAGTGCATGGCAACCCACTCCAGTATTCTTGCCTAGAGAATCCCA